TACACGAGCCCACGACCAGGGTGGAGCAGGCTGCTCCCCCAGTTTGCTTCACAGCCCCATAATTTAAAAACTGCCTATCATGCCGCCCGTGTCAAGAAACAGCGAACGCAGGCATGCTGGGGGTGGGTGCGCAATCAAAGGAACATGCACAGTTTATTCCGACATACAGGAAATACATACGGCATGTAGGCAGCCCCCGAAGGGACTGCCAAGATGGGGTCTGTATGGGATGCTTTCATAACCTACCAGCCACATACGCAGTTTAGAGCATGGAGAATCACGTGGGCAGTAAAACAAAGAGGCCGAATGGATTAAGAGAAAGGGCAGAAAAGGAAAGAGTTTCAGCACAGGCACCCAATAGCATATCTAAGGTGTAGGTGGGAGACAAGACTTTCAGCATGGATTCCCGATCAGGTCAGGGTCCCACCCGAAGTCTCAAGCTGTTCTTAGAGTGCCAGGCTTTCAGCAGCCATGTTATGGCAGAGCTTCTGCTTGTTTTGCCCCAGTATCTTTAACCTTATTCATTTATTTATAAAATCTGTATGCCGTCCAATTACTAACGTCTCTGGACAGCTAACAGCATTAATAAATTGATGACCCATTCTGGCTGCAATTAATAAAATACAATGATATAATTCAATATTAAAACTTATTAAAATATTGATGAAATGAAAAGGTCTTAACCTGTTGCCGAAAAACATACAATGACGGCGCCAGGCAGACCTCTCTGGGGAGCGCATTCCATAGACGGGGCGCCACCACAGAGAAGGCCCTCCTCCGGGTACTCTGTCTCCTAACATCTTTCACATCCTTGCAAAGCTACCCTGCCACAAGCATCTAGGCTGACCATAGGCTTGCTGCTACAATATTCTGGCCAGGATTTTTCTTACCCCACAGGAATTTTGCAAAGGCTGGTGATTTGTTGATGAACATGGAGGATGCTACTGAGCGCAAGCTCCTGATCCTGAGCTACACAAATTGGCATCAAGGTTCTTAGGTGCGCATTACACTTCGTGAAGGCCAGTGCCATCTTTTCCAAACACTGACAAGGAAACGCGCCGGCCGCTTGCACTCCCGCTTGTTCACTGATCTGTTGACAGAGTTCTTTGTAAACTCTTAGCTGCACTGCCATGCTAACCCTTCTGTTTTATGTTGCTTTATTATTTATTGAAAACAATGACATGTTTTCATGCTTAACCATGCTGCATCGGCACATAATCTAAAACGAATGGTTCAGATTATGAAGGCGAATTATTTATCTTCCACAAAATGTTGGTCAAAATATTAGTGCCAGAGAGCAAGAACCCCTTGGAACTGGGAGGACTGCTCAGTGGGGTTTGGGATCTTTTGTGGGGTGCAGGTGAAGAGAATTGCCAAAGGGGAGCACACAACGTCCTTCTCCACTCTGCAGGGAGGAGTGTGGAGCCGGCCTTCACCTTCACCATTCCACTGGCCTGCATGGGATGCCCACAATGCTCCGAGTCCAGAGGGTTATGGGGCACTTCTTTGCACTGCCCTCCAGGTCAGCCTTCTCCAACCTGGTGTCCTTCTACAGACATACAACCAGCAGATCGGGGGAGTGAATCCCTTTATTCCTACCTGATAAACTCCAGGCTGCTGCACCCGGAGTCCTTCCGCCTCCACGCCAGTTACACACCATCTCACACCAGTGTATCAGTGCTGCTGGAATGCCTACTTTAAAAATGACTTCCTTTTTCAGAGTTCATCTTGAAGATATATTTAAACACATTGCTGTATATTCAGGTGTGGGGCTTGCAACGTGCAGCAGAGTTTCCTCAGAATTTCTGAGGAATTCTTGGTTTGTGTTGCACTGATCAGATCATGTGTGTGTGTGGTGGGGTGGGGTGGGAAGAAGCTGCCAGTGCTTGCTGACCGTAATGGGGTGGAGGCAGGCAAGGGAAGATGAAGATGGCACAGATCGCACTGTGAGAGGCAGGCGTCTTCCCAGAAAATGGTGCCCAGCATTGCTGAAAAACCCGCCTTCTTCAAATGGGCCTTTTCCGACTTCTAAGCTGTCTTGACCCAGTTTCACTGGCCTCATTTCTGTGTTGATACAAATGAGATTGTATTGCATTTTTAATTGCAATAAGTGTGTTTACATGAAAAGAACACAGCTTGTCAGGGGAGACGGTGACCTACTTTTCCCTCAGAAAGTGTGTGCATATACAAGAATACTGTGGTGAGTTGACAGTCTTGGTCACGTGCTCAGTTGAGCACTAGGGCTTTTAACAAAGGAATCTAATTTTTCCCTTAAATGCTGGGAATTTCTCTGGAAGGCCAGGAATTATAGTGGCCAAATATAAAAGGATGCACTCTGAACAGCTGTGAGGGAATTTCAACAGTTATAGTGTATCATGGAAGTGACACCTGTTCAAATTTCCCAGTCCACCCAATTATATATTGCAATATAAAAGCAATATAATACCATCTTAATAGCTATGAAAGGAGCAAGGGCCCTGCCTGTTTCTGCATCTGGCCACCCTGCCAGCAATCCACTTTTCTGATGGTGCCTGGGTCCTGTGCAGGAGAAGCAGAAAAGTCACAGAGAGTGTATGTAAAACGAATTAATCAATTTAAAGTCCATCTTGTTCTGCTTTACCAAAGTTTGGGTACCTAACAAAAAAATGTGGAAGTATCCCTTTTTCTGAAGGTCCCATTAGGTCTCTTGCATCCTACTTCACTTTACCTTGGGATGAGGGGAAGAAATTGAAGCCCCCAAGAACCAGCCACAATCCCTGCAGGGTGGCCTTGGCCCCTCTTTGCAGGGGCTGGTCTTTCTTTGAAAGTCCATTGGAAGGCAATCCTTGTTTGAAGGTGGTGGCCACTTTGCCTCTTTCAACTGGAGCAGTTGCTCATCATTTTGCATTCTTTTAACAAACTGAGAGGCAAAAGGAGAACGAGGGGAAAACCTTCTCCACGAGGCCCGGTTAGTATGTCCCTTGCCTGGGCCGTTGCATTAAGGATAACTAGAACAATAATTCAAAACTTTGCTTCCTACTCTTTTGGCATTCTGAAAACCCCCCTGATACATAAACACACTTTTTTGAAAGAAGAAATGAAATAACCGTAAGAAAAGCTTTCAGAGAAATGGACATGTACGCCTTTTAGAAGGGATACATTGATGCTGTGGATTTAAGACAGAACTAATATTGAAATCATTTTCTCTTTATTGAGGGAACCTTATGGAGCAGCTGCTACTTCGGTCTCCTCTCTCTTCTGTTTCTATAGTGCTCTGGACTGAAAAGAAGATAATGGCTAGAACTGCCAAGTTACATCATCATGTCAGGAACTGCAGCCACATATCTTTCAATATAATGAAGTTGTCAGATGAGCACTGATACACTTTCTTTAGGGAAAGCTTTTCTAAGTGAGGCTGTCAGTCCACTGAATCAGCTTTTAGGTCTGTTGCATATTGGAGATCCAAGTGCTACATGAGGACTGACTTTCCTGCCCCTCCACTAGAGAGCCCCTAGGTGGCACTGTGGTATAGCAGAATCAGGCAATTACACAAGCAGAAAAGGTGTTTTTTTCACTTTTAGAAACAGCACCCCATTTTTCCCTGCTTTAAAATCCCTTTCTGAAAACACTGTTTAAACACAGAAGTGAAACTGGAGGAGTTAGCATTGTCTAAAGAACTCATAATCAGCTGTGAGTAGGCAATGACAAGTCCATGATAAATGGTCAGAGTTCCACACATGAGAGAGAAGGAAGTGGTATAAATAAGGTAGTTTCTTTGATGCTCATGATGGGCACGTGCTCTTTTCGAGAAGAGTGTTTTTTTAATATTTCAGTTATCAAAAGAAAACAGAGTCTGCCAGTTTTCTTCCACTACCTAAACCAGAAAACTGGAATAACAGAAATCAAGCAGATACAATCAAAGGATGTATTTCCAATATTACATACAAATTCACTACAATGAGCAACCTAGGAAGAAAGTAAATACCACTGTCCCTATAGCATGTTCAGACAGAAGGTGCCCATGAACATGTATGTACATTTGCACATGGTCTCATAGTGTGCAGTGGAAACAGAAGTCCTTGCTGCAACATCCTGACATTGTAAATAAATGAAAGAAAGAAAGAAAGAAAGAAAGAAAGAAAGAAAGAAAGAAAGAAAGAAAGAAAAAGAAAGAAAGAAAGAAAGAAAGAAAGAAAGAAAGGCAATCATTACAGATATGTTGTAAACACATGGAAAGTTGGCAGTTTTGATTTGCTTTTGATTGCAACTCAATCTAACATCAATCCTGAAAGAGAAATTAGAATATGCATGAGAATTGTATACACCAGAACTGTACAGAATAGTGCAAAACCAGTAGACTGGATTTTATACATTTGATATGCAGTTCTCTGAGCAATCAAATGCAATCAATTACAACAGACAAGATATACAAACGCGCAACACAATACGCATACATGAACTTTTTCTTTCTGTATATGTTATTTACAAAGACAAGAGCTGAGTGCCAATTCAGTCCTCTGGAGCTCAACAGGGCAGCACACGCATTTTCATTGCAATTGGGTGTCCCGAAGGAAGGAGTTAGCAAGATTAGCGACAGCTGCTTTGCCAAATTAAAGCCTTGGGCTTCATTTTCAGCGCATGTAAATGATCACATTTCCTGTTCAGTCATTTCCTGTTTTAAGACTGATTGAGGTAATAGAGATGTTGATCTACGTAGCATGAGATAAATGGATTTTGACTGTTAGTACTGGATCGAGCCTTTAATATTTTTAGTCTGCTATTGAAGGCAAGAGTTGTAGCAGAGCATCTGCTGTTTTATTTCAGGATGTCACATTTCCAGTGCAAGGGGTGAAGTTGCCAAATTGGACTGAGGTCTAGCATCACTAGATTGGACGGTGATTATAATGAGGGTTAATTGTCAGGTGTCCAAGGACAACCTTAGTCTTGCAACGAAATGAAGGCAAGCCAAAGAACTCTCAGGGTGCAGTCCTTTGCAAATGAGCTTCACTGAACACAACGGGACTTGCTTCAGAATAGACATGTACACAGTTGCACTGTACCAAATACATATTTGAATTGATGTGACCCATAACTAGATGCCCGTTTAAAAGAAATGCTAAGCAATGACGAGAACTGCAGTTCTCTAACGATTATTCACCAGGAATTTTGGCCTACGCCTGATGCTGGCAATATATGGAACAACAAAGGTAGAACCCACAAACCATTTGTTGCCTATGACAAGATTCTTTCCCTGCGACTAGTGTCTTTCTTATATCGAGTTTCTGATGGGTGTGATCCTGTACCTTTTCCACATCCACTGTTTATTCCTAGCTCCAACAGATCTGGACACATGGACTAGCTGCAGGATCAGAACCCCCATTCTAGTATACTAGGTAAGCACATGTGCTTCGTTGGTGGGAATGCCCCTTTCCTCTAGGTAATCACGTCACCTGCTAATTGGACAGGGGTTGTCCTGTCAGAGTGACTTTTAAGAGAAAGTGCAGGTCCAGGACAAAGCAGCCCTCACCAGCCTTCCATCCCTGAAAGGTGAGGGTGCCACTGGTCATTCAGCATGGAGAAGATGACATCTGGTCGTAATCGGGACATTTAAGTAGAGCAGGGTAATTACTGTTCATCTGGAGAGAAGCATCGCTGGAGATGTCGGAAGGGCTGCGCCCACGAACCCACGCATCCGGGTGGAGGAACTGGCCAGAGTAGTCCGAGCAATTGCTCAGTCGCGGACGGTAGAAGCCCGGATGAGGCCGGTACATCTCCTCGGCCGTGTATCTCTTCATGAACAGGTAGACGGACATGACACCTGCACTCTGAAGGAGAGAGGGTGCAAAAGTGAAGCTCCTGTTTCCAGGCACTGACTGGATGCAGCACCACAGACAGGTCGGCCTTGAAATGCCCCTTCAGGCCCTTGCAGGACTGAGAGCTTTTCTACAAGAGGCGTCAGTTGTATAGTCACGATTCCTTATGCACAATTGTTTATGGGTTCTTTGGATGATGCCACCATCTTCCAGGTTTGGCTTGCTTTTTCAGAGTGCTTGCCCAGTTTGTCTGTTTGCTTGTTCATTTAAAATGGTGAAAATGGGGTAGTATTTCCACTGGGTATTACACTATTCTGCCATAGCACAGCTCCACCTAGAAGTTGTGGAGCAGAAAAGTAGGAAAGGAAAAGCTCTTTCTGTAGGACTTGGATTTCATTGCTGCAATGAAATGGAAATGATGAAATACAGTGGCAAACAGCCTCCTGTAGAAAAGCTCTGACTAAGAAGGGGTACGCTCAGGGCTTTTTTTGTCATAGAATGCACCGGAACAGCGTTCCGGCACCTTTTTTTCCAATGGATTTTACAAAGTGATTTTGAATCGCCTGTTGGCGTAGCAGGTCAGCAGCAAACATCCTTAACATAGTGCCTGCGGGCTGCTTTTGCGTCTGTGCCACCTGGCTTGGGACGCTGCTCGGCTTGGGATGGGTGTGTGTGGTCGTGCACTGAGTGCTTACTGCCAGCGGCGACCTGAGTTCCTGCACTTTTTTTTTCTTTTTTTACAAAAAAAGCACTGGGTACGCTCATCTTTGAGTCCAGGGGGTGGGGTGAGGGGTTGGTTGCAAGGCCCTCAGGAGGTTTGAAAGCTCTCTGTTTGTTTGTTTACGTTCCCTGGCATTGCATTTATATCCCTTCGCATTTCCTCTTGTGATGAACCCAAGGTGGCTTTCAGAGTCCCCCACTCCATTTTTACCCTTGGAACAACAAACCTGTGGAGTAAGATGAATCCCGCTCTCCCAGGACCCCAGTCTAGCACTCTCCCCACTAGACCACACCGGCTCCCCCACAACACACAGACTTCTTGTATGCAGAAATGCATTCCATTCCTGAGGTTGATAACAACCAGCAGAGACATAGGAAAGCATCTGAATCCTCCAGCCCGGGGATGGGGAATGTGTGGTCCTCCAGGCATTCTTGGACTGTGACTCACATCGTCCTTCACCACTGGAGATGCTGGATGAGGCTGGCAAGAGCCGCAGCCCAGTGTCATTTGGAGTGCCAGGGGCTCTGTAGCCTTGAACCAGGCTATTTCAGTCTGAAATGTCTCAGGGACGCCTGGCAAGTGGACGGTCCACAGCTGGTGAAGCAAATAACGTCAAAGAGGCAGGCTGAATGCCTGCGCTCCCTGGTACTGCAGGACTTCTCCTTGGCTCTTGCAGGGATGGGGGACCTCAGGCTACGGGACCAAATCTGGCCCTGCAGGGTTCCCACACAGTCATTTCCCTTCCTCCTTCCTTGGCTGGACCCCTTTCCTCAAGCCACCAACAGTTTAGTGGTTTCACAGCCTATGTGCAGATTTTTTCCCTTTCTGAAAGGTCAAAATGGCTTTCCTTTGTTACTGGCCCAGCTTGAAGGTAAAATATTCTGGTATATTTTGATTCTGGTATTTGCTTCTGGCTCTGCCCACCATTACACTATTCTCCCGAGAGCTTCTCTCAGTGCAGTCTTGAGTGCTTCTCATAGCCACCCTTGGACTGTTGGCTGTGGTCAGAAGAACGGAAGACCTCCCAGCATTCTCTGGGAGGAAAGGGAGGCTGAGTGGCAGGATGTCTCCTCATGCTCCCTCTCCCCATCCACAGCCCAAGGTGCCTCTTCGAAGGCAAAGCTGTGCCCAGCAGGGTCAGGGTTAGAGGAAGATGTCCAGGATTTCGCATTGTGAAGGTATGCCAAGGATCACTCCTTGATTTGCTTGGGCTGTATACATTTTCCACAGGCAGCTCCCCACTAACCTTACCTCTGTCAGGAGAAAAGAGATAGCCGAAAAAGCAAACGACCATCCATATCTGTAAGTGAAATAAGTCTCCGAGTCTTTGGTTCTGTTGAGCATTTCATCATTGATGCTGGAGATGTACAGTACGAGCCCTACAACCAGAGATAAGCCTGGGAAGCAAGAGGTCTGGAGTCAAAAGACATGCGAAGGGAAAGTATTCATTGGTGGAGATCGATCCCATCCATGAGGTCTCCTCTCACAGCAAGAGTGGGGAAGCTGAGGCGCTCCGAATCTTGTGTGACTGCAGTCCAGTCTTCCCAGCCACTGGCCATGCTGGCTGGGCCGGTGGGAGCTGGACTGCAGCAGCACCTGAAGGGCCCTAGCTTGCCCCTCCCTGGTCTGAAAAGGCACTTGCAGCTGGAGGGAATATCTTGCCGAGGAAGGGAGAGCACTTCTGCCGAGGGCGCAGCTGCCTCCACTCACTGAGAAGCAAACTTCTGCTGAATTAGGCAACAGATTTATGACCCTGGACATAGTTCTTCTGAACCATGAGTTCTCCATGCAAGTCCATGCTTTTAAGTTCTGCAGTCCCAGCTGCTTGTTTAACACCCTCTTAAGGCTCTGAATAAAACATGGGCTTCTCCTCTCAAATGGAAACATGCTCACAGATGACTTTCTGAAAAGTTTCAGGCCCGCTCTATTAACTCAAGTCAGTCACGGGGAGACAGAATTACAGAAACTGGCTCTGGAGCTGCATAGGGTCATAAAATAGGCGAGTTGGAAGGGATCACGAAGGCCACTGGATCCAGCCTCCTGCTGTTGCAGGACACCAAGTTACACCATCCCACTCAGAGGGCTCTCTAGTCAAAATGCTCTGTGAGACTTGGACCGTAGTGTTGCATCAGAGGCCTTCAAGCACTGTGGGAGGTTGCATCTGGATACACACCATGCCTTGGGTTCAGCCAGCAAGGGCCCCCAGGAATGGAGCTGCCTCCCTTTGGGAGTGTCCAAAGTCCAAGCCTGAACTTCTTCTGGAAGTATGGAGAGACTGAGCTCTTTGAGCTGGTTGTGGGAGCTCAGGATGAAGGTGGGAAAGGCTGGGGAATCTGCAGTGATTTCAGCCCTATTCATGCCACCCCCCTCTTGTCATTCCAATTCCCTGGGCTGAAATCCAGCAACACCTGAGCTGGTGGACCTCCCCGTGTAATTTAGGTTCCTAATCTTGTAGGATTCTAATTCACATGGGGAATCTGTCTGAACCGCAGGCATTCAGCAATCCAAAGCGTGGAGGATCTGGGTCCTAGGACAGGGGCAGCGCTCCCGACACCAGCCACTCTTGTGGTTGGAATGGTGAGGCGTGTGAACAGGGCTTTCGCTCTAGCCTGTTCAGTGTAATCTGCCTTGAGCCTACAGTGTAGATCAGGTTAAAACCTACAGGGCAACAACTTGTGGGTCTATAGAAGTTTTGCCCTACAATTCCCATCAACCTCTCTACTGGACGTGTGGCTCGGGCTGGTAGCTTTGGGCCAAAACATCTAGAGGGCCTTAACTTGTGTCATCCTGCTCTTATTTTTTTCTGGGGGTGGATGGGGCAAGGAGAGACACCTAGTCACATATAGTGTGGAAATGCTTTCATTTGTGGGGTACTGGGTGGTAATGGGGGCAATTCTTTTGTTTATGGCATGCATGTACGTCCCGTCTTCTAAGATTCTCAGGGAGGCGTGCATAGTTCTCCCCTGCTCCCATCCATGTGATCACCACAAAAATCCCATGAGGTTGATGAGGTGGAGAAATAGTCCCTTGGGTTGCCCCAGTCTTGATTTCGCATTCTAACCACCTCTCTGATCATTTCATACTTGGAAATAACAGTACTGAGGCTGATGCAAAGCTATGGCATCCTATTACAGGCAGATTGTCACAATGGAGGACAAGACCAAAATCTGCCAAAATCAACCCATGCTCCTTCTCAGGTATACATATGAGAGATCTGAATTCAGATCCAGCCTACACAGATGAATAATGTTTCCATCTGAAAACTCACCAGAGAGAATGAAGAAGATTCCCGACACAAAGGCCAAGATGGTTCTGTGAGGCCGAATATGCCCGATGTTGCTTAGAATGAACCCAATAAACATGAAGAAGAGGCTGACGAGAGGAAATGGTGTGGCAGAACGGATCATCTCTGCAGAGGGGAAAGAGGGAAAATGGTTCATGCTTCCTCAAATCAAATGATAAATAGCACCATGAATAGAAAACTTATTTTCTACACTTGCACTTTCATTGTTCTCTGTGGTCCTTCCTTTTATTTACATTTTTAATGCTGTCCTTTTCACATGAAGAAAAACACAGAGACCTTGTCTGTAGAAAGAACAGCAAAGTTGTGTTATGGACTTTACATTCATGCCATTTTTCATAGTCGTGAGTGGAGCCGGCTGGAGCCAGGGGTCAGACTAGATGGCCCGGGAGACCCCTTCTGACTCCCTCTGTTTCTATGTTTCTATAGTATGAAAATATCTCCCTGTTTGGAACTTTAAAGTCCACCTGAGGACTAAAGCTGCAATCCTATGGTCCTGTACCTTTGGGTTTAGCATATCTCCCTCTCCATGCATGGGGAAAGAGGCACATGGACAAAGGAGAAGGTCTGCCTGTGCACGTGTTGGTGCACTTCCTTCAGCTCAGCTTGGCTTGCTGAGCAAAAGAAGCCTGACTGACAGAAGAGGACCAGATTCTAGGGAAAAACACTAGTTCACAGGTCCTGAAATGCCATGGTGAAATCTTACTGCTGTGTTGTATGGACCCAGTTCTGGAGTTCTTCCATGGTAGGATTAGTTTTCTGAAACCATGGCGAGCATCAACTGTCTGTTCTGAGGTTTCGAGGCTTCACTGTACCTTCTCCAGAGAATCATTTTACCACTTTTGGAATGAAATACAATAGAGCCCCCTTGTGAGAGTGGCAGCAAAAATGGCTGCTTCTAGCTTTCATCTCTACTGCCCTCAGTCCCTAGCAACCAACATGTCATTGCTCAGTTAATTCCCATTGGCCCATTGATATGTCTGTCTCCCATTTACTTTTGGAAAGAGTGAGATAGTGCAAAAAGACATGGAAGGAGAAGGGGGAAATAACAGTGAAACTGATTATTTTCATTTAATGCAAATTTCTCTGGAGCTCCGCAGACATGCAGGTACACTCAGAAGGGAGATGTGGGGGACCCCCCTCAGGACTGCAGTGGACCTATCAGGAGGAGGCTGCTGGGGTCTGTAGGCAAGAACAAGGAAAGGACAGACCTTTTGCTCTCATGAGCGGCTGGGATGTGTGGAGAGTCCCGGAGGATGGAGCAGGGATGTGGAAACCATGCTGCTTAGGGACGATCTGACTAGCAAGGGACTATCTGACTAGCAAGTTCAAGCTCAGCATGTCCAAAGCTTCTTTGATCTTCCCCGAGATGCCTCCAGAATGCCCTCTTTGCTCCTTTGGTGCGATCGGAGCACTCACAGCGGGAGAACTTCCGAGCGCGGGACAAGGGAGGTCCTCCACAGCAGGCTAGCTTCGCTGGCCCTGCACATGGTCCCCTGTGGTCCCAGGATAGCTTCTGAGGAACAACAGAGTCACGAGGATGGGGCACTGCAATATGAAGCTCCGCAAGCGCCAGCTTTGTCTCTTCTCACAAGTGGACACAAATGATAAAACCATCCATTCCAAAATAGAGTTTTGGATTACTATAGCAACAGAAGAAGCTCTAAATAATACTGCAAATTTTTGTGGTGGGGATAACATGTGTCATTTCATTTCAAACATCATTGCAAATGTATTCCTCAATCTATAGGTTTTGAAGGAAGAAAGGGAGGGGGGCTGTTTCTAATTCTTTTGAACAGATTGTCCCGGCCAGTACTATGTCAAATATTTAGACATTTCAAAAGAGTATTCATGCAGAAAAACACACAGTGTAGATGTGAAACATTTTAATTTGCAAAATATCCATTTAAATTTTGATAATTGTCACATTGATTGAGACCAGAGATATTTTTTGTGTGGATTAAAGAAAATGACCCTTCTCCAGTCTGAATTCCCCTCTCCACAGAGCCGTTCCAGTCCCAGAATGCCTGTACCATGAATAGTTTGATCCTAAAATGAATATGGAGATTGCCCCAGTTCCTGAGTAGGCCAGGCCTCTATATTTGAGTCCAGGCTTCTGTAACCTCCTGGCTTGCTCACAGCCACACACTCCACATAGGTCTGCCCTTAAAGATGGTTTGGAAGCTTCAGGGGTGTAGAATCCCTCCTAGCAGGTACTGGGAGGTATTGGCATACTCAGCCAATTATATCAGCCAACAATTTGCTTGCAGGCCCAATTTAAAGTAATGGCTCCAACCCTTAAATACGTGTAGGCTCCCCTTACATCAAGGAAAACTGCTCCTTATATAATCCACCCTGTGAAGCCATGTCAGTTGAGGTGGGCAGAAGCAAATCTCCAGGGGTTTTGACATTCCCTGCAAGCATGGCCTGGGGTCAGGAATGCTGAGAGCTGAAGATCAAAACACCTGGAGAGCTACTTTCTTCTTCCCCATGTCTAGTTAACCAGCTTGGCTGTCCTTCTCATACATGTACTTTTTTTCAGTCATGGCCTCAAAGCTCTGGTAGTTTGCACCTGCTGATGTCCGAAAGAGTTGCTTCTTTGCAAAAGTTCTTCAGAAGAAATAAGAATTACTTTTTGCATCAGGGTTCATTTGGCCTTTAACTTATAACACTTTCATGCTGAATTTTACAGATTTAATTTTAATGAATCACCTAGAATGCTTTGGCTATTGAAGGATATAGAAATGTAGCAAAGAAATTGAACGAACGAATGGAGATATGAATGAATGATTATATCAAAGTTATTGTTTCTGCTCTTTCCTGAACATATGACCCTCTCCTTTGCACAAGGAAAAAAAAAAAACAAAACAAAACAAAAAAGAAGAAAAGAAGATGCTTCCTTCACAGAAGCAGGGACACAACCAAAGGGGTTCATAGCTGCAGCAGGAGCCATGGCATGTCTGAATCAGCAGACACATTGGGATTTGGGAAGCGCCGTGAGCATTCTCACAAAATGGCTGCTCTGAGGCCCTGCCCATCAACTGCTGCTCTGGTGGGCACAGCATAGCTGATGGCAAAACATCCCTTTCCCTGAAGGCAAACTGGTGAGAATGACTTGCACATGAACCTCATTGCAAGGCAGAAGTGGGAGCTGAGCTCTCATTCTCCTGAAACCACGTAAAGATGGCGTTGGGCGGCAGCTCTTCATTTTGCAATATGTCTGTCTCCCATTTAAAAGCATTTTAAAAACAACAGTTCTTAAGGAACAAAATCGAACTCCCAGAGGGAGCCTCTGGGAACCGGGAGAGGCATCATGGGCACGCCTTTGGCCTCCACAGGCCAGCAGGGTTTGTGGGAATCCACCCGTGGGGACTTATTTCCCCAGTGAGCATCAAGCCTCACCCCCTCCTGACAGATTCCCCGCTCAGTGCACCCCATCCTGGTTCCCAGCTCATTCTTTCTCCCGGCTGAGCCAAGGACAGGGCCGACTGGACCCTGTGAGGGAAAGGCTGGTCCTTCCTTCCCTACATATCAAAATAGGGGCTGTTTGCAAAGAGCCTCTGGGCGTCCCATGAGGGGGACTGTTAGCCATGCCTGCAGGGAACAGAGAGCCTGTGGCCTCCCTCCGTGGCCCCCAGGGGCCAAGTTTTCGCAGCCACCTTCCTGATGCCCCTTCTTCCTATTGCGGCCTATTCTGCTTTCTTGTGCTTCTTGCTTCTTCCTGCTCTCCTAGGGTGACAGCAGGTTAAAAATACTTCAGATAGATAGATAAATAAATAACTGAGTCAATAAATGTTTGGTGGGTTGTTGCCATGGACACTGGAGGAGTGCCTGTCAGCCTCTTGCTTAAAAGAGCATCTCTTTGCTCCCCGCTTTGCTGCGTGGAGCACACAGAACTCCAACCGCCTTCCAGGGCTCCAGACTGCAGCACTGCAGAGAAGTCCTGTCTCTGCCTGCCTCCCACATGTGCTCCAGCCCCGCCGATCTGCCTCCAGAGAAAAGAAACATAGAAACAGAGTGAGTCAGAAGGGGTCTCCCGGGCCATCTAGTCTGACCCCCCGGCTCCAGCCGGCTCTGCTCACGACATGCCTCCCATCTGCATGTCCAGCCTATCCTTAAACACCCTCACCGATGGGGCCTCAACCACCTCCCGTGGAAGCCCATTCCACACCCTCGGGGTCCTAACTGTCAGGAAGTGCTTCCTGGCATCTAAATGGAACCTTGGCTCCCTGAACTTTGCTCCGTTGGAGCACATCCTGCCTTCCTCTGCAGGGGAGAACAGGTCTCTGCCCATCTCCATGTGACACCCCCTCACATACCTGTATGTCGCCAACTGATCCCCTCTCAGTCTCCTCTGCTCCAGGCTGAAGAGACCCAGTTCCCTCAGTCTCGCCTCATACGGCATCCCCTGCAAACCGGCCACCAACCTTGTGGCCCTATGCTGCACACTAGGTTGCTTGTTTTGTGGGTTTTGCCTTTGTTCTGAGGGCTCTCCCCACGTGAAGCAGTGATGCTGCCTGTCCCTGAGATAAAGCTTCTCCTTGCTTTCCTTGTCTGTGAAGTGCAAATCTTAGAAGGGACACACACAACCCCAAGTCCCCCTCCTCAACTCACACAGTAGAAGTTACCTACTTAAAACATTGACAGTCGATTCAGAGGTCAGCTGGACGTTCATCGGCATGACGTATTCTATGGTGAAGCACCTCCCATGTTCTTCTCCTGCAAGGGAATGATCCTGTCTTTATTTTCTGAGAGAAACAGATCAGCCTAAGTACACAAGCTTTCTTTGCCTTCCAAAGCTTCAAGGGCTTTGAAGACATTGCTCTCATCCACAATGGGCCTTCTTAAACATTTGAGGATCCAAAGCCAGTCCAGAAGGATTGCCATTCAGGCAAATGCCAATTGTGCATGCGGTATATTGAAAGCAAATTCCAGGTGTAGGTGCTCCAATCTGCAGGGGTGGCGGGCTCAACCTTTCTTCTCTTAAACCTGCTCCCACCAGAGTGCTCAAACAGATAAGCATGGTGCCCACCCCATTTGCTATTTGCATTGCTGCAAAGAGTTGTTTTTCTTCTAATGCAAATAGCAGAGTTGTGACCCACACTCTGGACCAGTGCCATAGGGGGGAGCAAAGTTTTTAAGTCTCCTTAGCCCCCACATCAAAATTTGGGCCCCCGTATGTATACAATTCAATCCATTGTATGAATGATGCCTGACCCAACTTGGCCCTTGAATGTCAGCCTTTTCAAACATTGCTGGCCAACAAACAACAGCTAAAGGAGGCTGAACTGGTACCTTGCTTTAGTTCACCTCACTTATAAACATACAGGTTCCACGGATACAGTCTATTGCTCTGTCATCCTAAAAGAAGCAGTGAGGCGTGGGGAGGGCGAAGTATTGTTTCATCCCTTGTTGGCTAGCCTGCTGGACTGACAGGAGATAATAGAAACCTGTGAAAACTTGGCAGAATCTGAAAAGCCCACCACAACCAGGGGCGGCCTGAGACCTTTGTAAACCATTGCTGCAAACCCCTGGAGAGCTTTGACCATTGGGTAGCATAGAAATAGAATCAGTAACAATAGTAATAACAATTTGGGACCATCTTGTCCTTGTCTAAGGCAAAGGACAAGATAGTCCCTCCTGCTCAGTCCATGTAAGGAGCTGTCTGGATGGGAACCTGAGTCTTACTTTAACATTGGTGCTGGGATAGTGTTCTCTGTGGAAGCAGCGTAATTTCGGGGCCCAGGATAATGCGCAAGGAATGTGCTTCCTTTTCCTCCAAGAGAAGGGAACAGCCTGAGAGTTTATGAGAATGAAGGGCTGCCACTTTTGTCACCTCCCTCTTCCTTATGGTAGGCTTAGCCATTGCCACACTCATATGGGCAGCTCACCAAATCTGACCCCGAAGATTGTATATAAGGAGTTCTAGCAACCCAGCCCTATACACGGTTACTTGCAGTAAATCCTACTATGTCCAGTGAGGATTATTGCTGCTGTGTGTATCATCTCTATGGCAAACCTATAAATGAAAGCTCTTTAAAATGTCCTGTCCATGACTGCTCCATTCAGTTCTTCCAAGATGGAGGTTGTGGCTCGCTATATGGATTCAACCATCTCATATTTGGTTTTTCCTTTTGTCTTCTGCTTTTGGCTTACCCTTACAGGAATGTCTTCTCCAGTGAGTCTTTCCTTCTAATGATGTGCATGAATTATGACACCCTCAGTTTTCTCATTTTTGCTTCTTGAGAAAGCTCTGGCTTGATTTAGAAACATAGAAACAGAGTGAATCAGAAGGGGTCCCCCGGGCCATCTAGTCTGACCCCCGGCTCCAGCCGGCTCCGCTCACGACATGCCCACCATTTGATCCAGGACCCACTTGTTCATCTTTCTGTCAGTCCAGGGTATGCACAAAGCTCTCCTCCAGCACCATGTTTCAAACACATAATTTTCTTCAGCTTTTGTCACTGTCCAGCTTTCACACTGATACATTGTGATTGGGAATACAATAGTTTGGATGATCTTGACCTCAATCTCCAGGGAAACATCCTTATACTTGATCATCTTTTCTAATTCTTTCATTGATGCCCTTCAAATTCTCAGTCTTCTTGGAATTTCTTGGCTGCAGCCTCCCTTGGAATTGACAACTGAGCCAAGATATGCGAAATCCTTCACGATTTTGATTTCTTCATTATTGATAGTAAAGTTCTGTAATTTTTCTACACATGAATTTTGTTTACTTGATGCACTTAAGAATATTAATTCTCCATGAGGACTAACTCCTAATTGGTTCAGTAATAGATCCTAAATGCAGTGGTCTGAAAACTGAATATATTTCAGCAGCAAAACTGGTGTTGCATTCACAGTTGTCCTGGCTGCCTGGTTAACTGCTTCTATAATTCTGTCACTCCACCTCTACACTGATTAATTAACAGATTTATACAAAAATTAACAAGTCTTCAGTGCTGTGCTTTCCAGCCAGAGAAGACGTCCAGCTCAGTCACATGGTTTCCTTGCTAGCTTGGCTGGGGCAGATCCAAGCGGATTGCTGGTCAAGAACTGAAACCAACAGGGTAGCTCATCCGATCGCCTGTTCTTCTAGGTGACTTCAACCCACAATGCCATGGATCCTTAAACATGTAGTGAGCCTATGCAAGACAACATGTACAACAGCCATGTTTGAACCAGCTCAAATGACTCTCTGGATGGAGCCCACTGAGTCCTTTCCTGTCTTTCAAACAAGCCAAGGAAGGGCCATCAAGATGTTTTTAATGGCAGAGAAAATAAGACAGGGAAGCAATGGGAACATATCCATATAGTAAAAGAAAAGAATATCTCTGGCAGCTGTTGATGATGCTGAGCTTCATAACAGATCATTACTAGGACTTGCTAATATTAGGAGCTAGGTTTGAGTAGCAACAGGTATGAGAAAAGCCAGGTTTACTTTTACAGAAAGCAGCACAGTACCTGCCAAAAAGCAAACCCTCCAGAGGCCAGAATGCAGGGACATCTTGATTTCAGCACTCTGGTTTTGGGGCAGGATGATCCCTTCCTCCAGGTACAACCAGTAGTCGGTGCTCACGGCAATCCCCAGGAGTCCTAGTCCACACACAGCAAACACACTGCTGAGCAGGGTTAGGGCCTTCCTGCCACAAGTGCTCATTCCCAAAAGCATCAGGGGCCAGTGGAACAAAAGAGAATTCCTGGATTTGGGGGTGGGGGCAGAGAGAGAGAGAGAGAGAGAGAGAGAGAGAGAGAGAGAGAGAGAGAACATGAATGTCAATCTTCTTAGCCATCATAGGCAAAGTCACACGGGCTCTCCTTATCTCCTGTTTACACATTTGAGCACAGATGACTACCTGGGAAAACAGGGCTAGAGCCCAAGGGGCTGGCCATGACTGTCATATTCCTTTAGAACCAGACATGAGGGATAACCACAGGGAAGGTAAATGATGTTCGTTTGACACATATTCCACCCTTCAGCCAAAAAGGGGCGGCTAACAATAAAAACCAGATTGAAAACAGCTTAATTAGAAAAAAGAAAAACAATTCATATGAAAGCTCCTAAAAGCAAAATGAAATAAATAAATAGCAGCCAATTAAGAACCCCTCCAGCAATGCAGAGGCTTATAAAACCTGTCTGAATTTTTTTTTTTTTTTTGGCCTGGTGGTGGAAGGCTTACAGTGAGGGCCAACATAACCTCCACGGACAGGAAGTTCAGAGCCCAGGAGCTAGGAAGCCCCTCCCTTGAGTCTCTGAGGGTGGCGGGACAGTGAGGGCCTGCCTGGATGTATGGAGAAAGTGCCGCCTGTCACACTGTGTGTAACCCATTCTCGCTGCATGTGGTCCAGTCTGGCAGGCCCGCTCATCCGCCTGGGTGTGAGAGCCCCAGAACGCTGAAGACGGTGGCGGATCGACGGGGAAGCTTCACCAAGGCACCGCTCCAAGCCTGTCAGCATTGCCATGGCAGCCTTCCTCTCCCACTCCCGCTCCGCCTTAGGTTGCGAGCCTTGGAGACAGGGCAAGGCAGGGCAAGACATCCTCCTGCCAATCTCTAGTCCCGCGAGAGCAGAGCTGGTTCAGACCTGCACTTGCCATTTGTAACAGCAAGCGCTCTCTGGGGCTTGTGCTATGCCAAGCGAAGCAGAGCTGACGGCTGTGCCCGGCTTCTCATTCTCAGGATGCCACTTCAGTTGTTATAGACCAAATCTTTATTAAAGTGACTGCAGCAAAGAATAAGACTGAGATGCATGCCTGAGATGCGTGCAGTAGTAGATTTTGTCCAGTTTCCACAGGTAACTACTGGGTCTCCTCAGGCACTCCCGTTTGCACTTCCACCCATAATGAAGTCAGTTTCTAACAGCAGCATGGAAGAGGTTCAGCCTTAGAGTGATTGCAGCAGAGGCCCAGGGTGCCTTGCCTACAATTGCATCTGCTGCCTAGTAAATGTGTGGCTGAGGTACGATTTGGACTGGAGACTAACTGGTTACACCCAAGAGAGCAATTTACAGGGCCAAATTTTAAAGGGACACTGTGCAAGCCGATCTCTTCGGAGAGCTAGTACGGGCAGAACAGGAGTTACATGTAGAGCTGGATCTGAAAGCTGGCTTGCTGCCTCGGTCACGAAAAAGCCTCTCTCGCTCAGTGGATGCTTGATGCAATTAGGAAGTTGCAGGGCTCAGCTCTGCAGTACTGGAAGTCCTCACAAATTATTGTGTTTTGTTCGGTGCTTCTTTCCCCCCAATATATGGACTCCTAGGACTGCCGTTTAGTTTCCAGTCAATTAGCCCTCCTTGGCGCGGGTTCAGGGACAAGTACAGAGAGACTGGAAGCTCAGGCATGTGCAACGTGCAGTCTTTGAACAGCTCCTCTGTCCTTCCTCTGCCAGTGCACATAACTCTCCTTAATAGAAGCTGGCCATGTCCTGCTGGATGAGGAATAACAATCATGATGTCCCATAAGTTATTTATCAAGTGCCTAAGGCAAGGCACTGGACAAAACACGTAACAAGGCAGGCCTTCCTGAACAGACCTCCAGTCCAGCGTTGTCAGAAACCTCTGCAATTAAAATGGATGCAAGGTTCACCTCAGATCAGGCCTCACTTAGTGTGCATTCCTAGGCAGGCTTCGAGGTTCTCCAAGGCCACTGACCTTCATCTGGGCAAAACCCCTCTTAGCACAGAGATCCACAGGGCTAGTGGCATTGGGCAGAGATGGCAGAGCGGATCAGGAATACATGTGCGGCAAACTGATGACAACAAGGAAAGAGTGAAGGGACCACCCTTCATCTTGTTCTTTTGCATAGGCATGGAAAGATCTGGGTTGCTTCTGGGCCAGCCTTTTGCTTCCTGCTGGCTCCATCATGATCCAGCAGCATCCTGGGATGGAGGAGGGGAGTGATTTTCAGATGTGGGGAGAAATGTACTCAGACTGTGCTACCACAGCGTAGTTAGGTTGGGCATGGGGTAACCAGGTCAGATTAGGGCTGTCTGAAAAGCATCTTCTGCTGAGGGAAGGGGTGGGATCCAGAGGAGTCATACTTCGAGCAGACCCACTGAAATCAATGGGACATTGATCAATGGGTTAGTCCTAACTATCATGGCATACTGATTTCTGTGGGAATGTTCTACATCTGACTGAAACTGGAATCCACCGGGCATATCAACAATACATGGCTAACAGCATTCCTAGGAACTGTGGGCTGCCCTAGGCCCTTGAGAGAGGAGCCTCAGATGAAAGACCTGCCCTGTCCACCCCCACGAACTGTCCCATGTAATACGTGGTGCCGGAAGAGTGCTGGGCATGTGGCAATCGGATGGGCAGGCCCTGTGAAACATGGCACATTGAGCATGTTCCAGACTCCTATCCAACATGTTGGAGTTCCTCAGAAGATGAAGCAGTAGGGAAAGGAGCGGAAAGAAACATAGAAACAGAGCGAGTGAGAGGGGGCCTCCCGGGCCATCTAGTCTGGCCCCTGGCTCCAGCCGGCTCCGCTCACGACAGGCCTAACATGTGCATGTCCTGCCTAAGAGGATCCTACCCCTGTCGTGGGAGTTAAGCCTGTGGTTGAGGGAGGCACGGTAAGGAGAGCACAGGCAATCAGCACAGGCAGAGTGAGGAACACAATGGCATCTGGGCAATGGCTGGCCAGCCACTATATTGGGCGGCAAATGAAAGCTTTTCTGCCAGGCAACATGCCCTGGGATACAGGAGGGGAGTGGTTTCCAGTTGCTAAGCTGGGCTTGCCAGGGAAAAGCAATGCAGACTTGAGGAGAGCCAGGAGACTTATGCGCGATGCTTAGGATTCTTTATCTGGAATTGTAAACGGAATGGAAGGTGCGGGTCCAAGACCTTTGCCATCCTCAGCACTTGCATTTCCTCCTTTCAGGCTGATTCCATACACCAACTCTTCCTCACTCCTGTTCCTCACCTCCTTATATAATATCCCAACCAACCTTTAATTTTTTAAAAATAACCTCTTCCATTGAGCATCAATACTAATCCATCCAAGAATGCCTTCTCAACACTTTATTCATTAGCACCAATGGGAGCTACCTTTGAAATGCTAATAATAATGATAATATTTCTATACTGCGCCACATCTGAAGCTCTTTGGGCAGCTTACAACAAATCATAAAACAGGCAATAAAATGCAATAAAAATATGAAATCAGGAAAAAAACATTAATACATTAAACAGTTAAATAGCAGCCTCAGAGAGAATTTTGTCAGGACCCTGGCAGGGAATCTTGTTTGGCTCAAAGTCAGTCATTTTTAAATGTGAGAAAACACCAAAGGAGGTGACTGTGGAATGTGAATACAGGAAATGTGACCCTTGTTAAGAAGAAGGAGCAAATAAATGAAAATGTCCGCGTCCTCATGCAGGTACAGTGAAGGCTTCTTAACAGATGAACAATTCTAAATGCCAGGAGATCTTTCCTAGGTCAAAATTCAGTCTCTGTATGCAGTGAGAAATAAGTAAGTTAAGTCCCATCAATAACTCTCCCAAATTAGAGTGAACAGCAGAGACACAAGAATGATTTCCAATAGGTTCATTAGATGCACAGTCTCCAGCACAGTGTTTGATCAGTATGCTCTTAGGGCTGCAAAGGTAACATGCTGCAATAATTCAGGCTGCAGTGTTTTTTGTGAGTTTGCTCCACGGACTCTGGCAACTGGTGGATGAGCCTTGCTCACGTCTTCAACAGGTGAAACTGTTACTCAGCTGGCAAAATGATCATGGCATAGAGCAGGGCGGGGAGGACTTCAGCTTCCAGAAAGTCCTGCCATCATGGCCAGTGGTCAGGAATGCTGCGAGTTGAATGCCAGTGGACATGTGTGCACCCCTGGGATGGTGAGCCAGCGTGGCGTAATGCGTCGGGTATTAGACTAAACCTGGGCAGATCCAGCTTCTAGGTCCCACTTGGCCATGAAGCTCCCTGGGTGAGTTTTGGGCACTCCTCAGCTCTCAACCTAACCCACTTCACAGGGTTGTTCTGAGGATCAAGGTGGAGAATAGGAGAATCATGTGTGCTGCCTTGAGGTCCTTGCAACAAACAAACAATATAAACCATTCCAAGGCATTTCCAAGCCTGTCTCTATCCCATGGGTCCATGGCCAAAGAGGGTGGTAGGGAGGGGTATCCTTATGCAAACTGGCATTGAATCCTAGCTGAGCAAAAGAGTAAAGCAGAAAAGCGAGAGATACTTGATCAAAAGTGGAGTCCATTGCTAAGCAAGGGAAGGGAAATGCAAGGACAGAATGGGAGGGCTGAATTGGATGCTGCCAAACACCCTGTTCATGCAACGCACAAGAGTACGAAATTCTCCAGGGCCAGAGCAGCAAGTGATCCCATTTTCCATGGAGTTTCCCACCCAACAAATAGCAATAAGCATCTTTTTACATACTTTTATTCTTATTATTACATTGCATTTATATTTCACCATTTCCCCCCTTTTGAGGATCCCAAGGTGGCTTCCATAGCTCCCCTTTCATCCTTGTGAGGCACATTAGGCTGAGAGCGAGTGACTGATCCTAAGTCACCCAGTGGTCACTAGAACCCAGATCTCCCCAAGCCCCAGGCCCACGCTCTCACCATGCACTACACCACCTCTCAATTACTTGGCTAATTATTGGCCCAGCGTATTTATAATCTGCTTGCTCTCATGAAGGAAGC